GTATAACAATCACGGCACACAATACATACTATAACTATACCACATGGCATGGCACTCACGGCATACTACCTTATTACTACACACGGCATAACAGCAACATGACCCAAAGGTAGTACTACCATTACGTCATAGCCGTAATGCCATATGTAGTTACTACCCTGAGAAATGTCTGCATCATTAATCACACACATTTATTAATGATATAACTAAAATGCTCTCAGATTATCTTGAGGTTTTTTCTGAACCTTTAAATTTTCCAGCTAATAAAAGAACTATTCAACATAATGAATTGCCCTCGGTGGCAAACGAACTGTTAGTGACATTTCAATTGAATCTTTGGAGACATGATCAAGGTTGGGCACCTATTTTTCATAAAGGTAAAATTAGTTAGTGGAGTGAATCCATAATTAACACAAGAAAGATAATTATTAAATTAACATATTTCCATTTAAAAAAAAAACATAGGAGAAGACGTGCAGTCAGGTCAGTTTAGTATGTTGAATTAGGTTCAGCTTGCGGGTTGCTTGGTATGTTGAGTTAAGTTTTAACTTACTTATTATATTGGTATGTTGAATTAAGTTCAACTTATTTATTTTAGTTAGGTCATTTTGGACGGCATATATTAATTATTCTTTATAATGGTAGCACTTAATTATCTTTATCATCTTTTAATGTTAAGATTTAAAAAAAAAAATCATATTGGACAAGTGACAATCACGGCATTGACCAATAATAGGACCCCAGACATCTCTAATATAGGTCGTATTTGGATTTTGGCCGATTTGGCCTAATTTGCTAAAAACTAGAATTTTGCTTTTTCTTAAATATCTCCGAATCCAGTGATTAGAATTGAATGAACGTTTTTTTAAAAGAAGCGCCTCACTGAGGGCTTTAATTTAAAAAAAAAGTTAATCCAAATTGGACTGCTGGTTGCTAAGATATTTACAAAAAAGTGATTTTTTGTTCCCAAAATTTACAGGGGTTTTGCTAAAAAGTTTCAATATGACCTATATCCTAGATGTCCGGGGTCCTCCAATAATCCAAAAACACAACTTAATGCATGGACATTGTTGAATGTATACCTTTTAGCGAATTTACAAATATAAAGTAACTTGCTAAAGAACGGTATGGATTAAAGGACTTGATCAGAAGAAGAATGAATAGAAGAGAAGTTTGCAAATAAGTATTTGTTCAAAAAATTTTGGTAATTCTAAAGGTACAAAACAAGAATTTCAGAAGTGTTTTTACATTTATTATGATTAAAATGTAGTAATCTTACCTATTCTAATTAATATTGATTAGGTTAGAAATCAACATGAACATGGGAAATTCAAAAATCACATAATAAAAAACTCGAAAGATGGTAATAACATGATGTTCATGGAGTATGCAAGACAAGTAGATTATTTGGCATGCTGAATTAATTTTAAGTTATTTTTTAGATCAATCTTTATTTTTTTAATCAATTTTGATTTTTTTTTTGATTTTTTTAATTAAATTTTTTTAATCAATTTTGATTTTTTTTTGATTTTTTTAATTAAATTTTTTAATAATCAATTTTAATTTTTTTTGATTTTTTTAATTAATTTTAATTTTTTTAATTATCAAACTGTGTTATTGTTCCAGCAGGTCAATTTGTTACATTGAATTAGGTACAAGTATACTTATTCAATCGGGTCACTTTGGTATGTTGAATTTTAGCTGGGTTGTTTTGGTGGGTTCAACTTGTTTATTCTAGTGTCGATTTCATGTGTTACTTAACACCGAAGTTGCGCAGGGGTGGATATAATTAATAGGATCAAGATAAGGGCTGTGTAATTTTTAGATAGACCGATGATATAATCACACATGTAAAGTAAATAAATAAGTATAAGATTTCAATTTTCTGCTTTTAATAAATACCATTAGATTTTGGGTCAAAATCTCAAAAAACAGATTCTTGAAAGAACATAATTCCGACTAAATTAGCCAGCATTATAGCTAATGATGGTTAGCTTTGTTGGTATTATGTTCTTTCAAGAATCCGGTTTCCGGATTTGACTCAAATTCATATCATTATATATCTTGAAACGTTTGTGTATGGTGAAAGAGTAGTTATGTAAAGTGCAAGTAATACAATAAATAATTCAAGCGGGTGTGTAATACTAACGAATGAACGAACCTACTTATTCATGAGTCACCTGGCATGTTGAATTAAGTTCAATTTTATTCCAGTCGAGTTTGCTTATTTCACCCAGGTCATTACGGTATGTTGAATTAGATTCAACTTTTATTCCAGCTGGGCCAATTTTTGGTAAGTTAAATCAGTTCGATTTGTCTATTTTAATCGAATATTTTGCTATTATTAATTATGATTTGCTGATTTGTTTATTTTAGCCGGTTCACTTTGTAAGTTGTGAGGGGCGAGACTGTATTATATCGGGAAAATATAGATAATACGGATATCAACCCTCACTAATATTATCTAAAACTACATACTATCTGAACTCTAATAGTGGAAAGACTTGGTCTGAGTAATTAGAGTATTAGATTAGAGCCCTATTTTACATTACGAGGTACTAATTCAGGCTCACGGGATTAGACTTTTATATATCAGGGGGATTAGAACGTAATACTTGTGTTTCATATTTGAGCTCTTTCTAGAACTGAACTCTGACTCAGTTCAACTTCGAATCGTTCTTTTATTAGAACGAGAAAGGTATCGCTTTTATACTTTTCTTTATATGATTATATCATAATAGAACTGTCTAAGTAACTAACTAATTAACTACTAAAAATAGACTATATCTGGATTTGTACAAGGGAATTCGGTACAAATAGTACAAACAGTACAAGAAGGTACAAAAAATGCGCCATATCTACCAATTTACTAAGTCTAATAAGTATCTAATCTACTATATTATATTAGATTATTTCTAGTATGCTGAATTGATTCGACTTGCTTATTCTAGCTGGTTATTTTTGTTATGTTGGATTAGCTATTCTAGCCAGCTCACTTTTTATATTCAATTTTATTGTTCTAGCCAGGTTACTTGGTATGTTGAATTAGGTTCAACTTGCTCATTCTAGCAAGGTTATTATACTTATTCTAGCTGAATCATTTAGGTATGTTGAATTACATTTTACTTGATTACTTTAGCCGGTTTATTTGCTTATTTTGGTATGTTAAATTAGATTCCATTTGATTATTCCAGCTGGGTCATTTTGGTATGTTGAATTAGGTTCAATTTGGTTATTCTAATTCGATGTACCAAAATGGCTTGGATAAGTTCAATGTGATCATTCCAGCCGGGTCACTTGGTATGCTGAATTAGGTTCGATTTTGACTATTCTATCCGATTCATTTTGTTACATTGAATTATGTCTATCTTATTCCGCATATTTATCTTGGCATGTTGAATTAGGTTCGATTATATTGTTTCAGTGGGTCATTTTGTTATTGTCAGATATCTCTTTGTAAGCGAAGAGATCTAACTTTTCTCTATTTTCTCATATTCCTTATATACTTAATATTTAACTCCAAATTAATTACATCTTAATTAATCATACATACTACATTTGACTTTTTCTAAATTACATAATTAATTAATCATATGATACTTAACTTTCTTATATTATGCGCCTTAATTGATTCTTAATTACCCAGACCATTCCCAGGTAATCGATACCCATGATCAAGTGACCATACCTTCGAACGTGAAACTGACCCAACTTCGACAGATTTTCAAAGCAAGTATATACATTTTTCAATTTTTTATTTTCATGTCATTTTCCGTACTATGTATCTCGAGATATAATCTTTGCCCAAGAACGATTTTGATCGTGACAGTATGCTTAGTTTACCTATTTCAGCTGTTTCAACTTGCTTACTCTATCCGATTTGAGCTGGGTTATTTGGTATGTTGAATTAGGTTCATACTCTAGCTAGATTACTTGGTATGACCAGTTTACTTATTCCAGACGGTCATTTTGCTATGTTAAATTACATTAAATTATTTATTCTAGTCAGGTTACTTGGCTGAATTTGTTTAGCTTGTTTATTTTTCAGCTGGATATGTCTAATTAGGTTCAACTGTTATGCATGAATATTTTCACGCAAAATTTTATACCTTATTCACGTTGTTAAACAGAGCGATATCTAATATAGCTGCAGCTTATACTAATGGTATTGACTTAACAAATGAACTAGTTAGCATGCCAAATACTCACAGAGGTTTGCACTTAGCCATGGGACAAGTACCTCATTCTCTAAACCCAGCAATGCAACAATATATTCTTGGGAATCCAATGCTAACTAATGTGCCAGCTATAAATAACCCAAGATTACAAGGACAAGACAAATGGCATTAACACAAAATCCGTCACCACCTATCTCGTGAGTATCATTTTTTTTATGATACTTATTTGAATCAGCATCGTTTCAAGCATCGTTTTATATTAATTCGCACAAATCTTCATTCAACACTAGTCGGAATCCACTGCCTTACTTTTCAAGGTGAATTATCCATTTTAATATAATATAACATTTATTGTTGCGGCTGAAGCTGGAAATGGCTAATGCTGGAAATTTTAATTATTTTAATATGAAATTTACAAAAATTTTTTGGGCCTTTTGTTAAAGGGTTTTTTTTAGAGTTAGGTTAGGGTTTAGTAGTAGTTTTAATAATAAAAGAGTATAAGTGGATTTTGGTAGGGTTT